TTTTCTTGGAAAAAATTCGCGAAAATAGCCTTTTTTTTAGGTGCTCAGAGTAGAAGGTCCCCTTAATATATTTATATATATATATATATATATATATATATAATGCATTGTATTTGCATAATGTATAATGCAAATTGTATTTGTATTATTGTATTGTAAAATTTAATTGTATTAACGCATTGTATTTTGCATAATGTATAATGCAATATTGTAAAATGCAAATACCAATATATAATTTATTTAATTTATTAATAATTAATATTATATTTCAATTAAATATTATTAATATATAATATAATACATTAAATATAATATTTTAATATAATATATATTATTAATATTATTTAATATACATATATAGATAATAATGAAGACAAATGATTTGTTAATTTAAAACATTTCTATGAATCACATTTTGTTTTTTTTTTAAGATTTTAAGAATAAAATCACTAGAAAATTTTCCTAACATATTTCAAACTATATATTCATGAAAATTGTATACAGGTGCTGTTATTATACATTCTTGCTTCACGTATACACATAAATACATGCATATATGCATGTATATATAAGAATAATTTTTCTCAAGGGAGAATATACCATTTTCAAGAACGTTGTAACTCGTGTTATTGTCAATCTATTATATCATTTAAATGTAAATTTTGCGTTTTACTCTCCTACCTTCATCTTCTTCATCATCATCATCATCATCTTCTTCTTCTTCTTCTTCTTCTTCTTCTTCTTCTTCTTCTTCTCTCTTTCTCTATCTTTCGTGTTATTACACGTGAACTATGACATAATTTAAATAAAATTTAATCTTAATTAATCTCATCATTTTCTCATAGTTTCTTTCAAACTTCAAACTTTTCTTCACACACCTAAATATTTTTCAATCAATTGAATGAAAGAAAAAGAAATTATTTCAATTTTGAATGAATTGTTCAAATGATGTGTTCTCAAGAAATGAAAATATAACATCAAGAACATTGAAAGTAAAAATAAAATGTATTTTATAATACATGTACAATATGTAATAGAAAAAAAGTGTGTAAAACAACCAACAACAACAAGAACCACAAGCATAAGTTAACTCGTGTTAATTAATTTACACAATATTTCCAATTGTAATTATTCGAACGATCATTAATGTTTCACGATGAACATTTAAAGATACGTTTCAGTATAGCAATAACAGTAACAGTAACAGTCTCAGCAGTAAAACAGTAACGAGAACAGAACAGAACAGAACAGAACAGAACAGAACAGAACAGAACAGAACAGAACAGAACAGAACAGAACAGAACCGAACCTGTTAATTGCAGTTATCTTAAACTGTAATTAAGTTTTCTCATACTACGTCACAACGATTAACGCATTTGACCACAGGAAATATCCTACCTTTAGATATGTGTATATGCATGTGTGTACACATTAATACTAGTAGTAGGTAATAACAAGTATAAACATCGAATACAAATAAACGGAATATTGGAAACTAGGATTGTAAAGAGATGAAGATATCCATAACCATAAGTGAAAGTGAATAATTGAAAATAAAAATAAAAATAAAAAATGAGAGAGTATTAAGACAATAATACAAAAAGGGATGATTTCTTATAAGGGTTGGTGTGCATTGAAGGAATGCAATAGGAACCCCCTCAAATGCATTACTTGGACGAATAAAAATAAAAATAGAAATTTAGAGGGTTGAGACAATAATACAAAAAAGGGGATGATACTATAAGAGTGGGTAGGGATGGGGATAGGGGTAGGAATGCAATAGGAATCCCCCAAATGTATTACTTGGACAAACCACCTGATGATTCCTGCCGGATTTGCAAACGGTTACTGGCAATAACGTGAAAGCAAGGTTACTTGTTTGACGCTTTGCTAACATAGGTTGCTTGCTTGTTTGTTTACTTGCTTGAGAGTATGCAACGATACAATTTCACTTTGACGAAGAAACGTTAAGCAAATGTACAAATGTTCCTTGACTGTTCGACCAAAAATGATTAAAATCGATTCTGATTTTGAATATAACTACTATCGATATATATTTTTTTATTTTTTGTTTCGTCTCTTTTCATTGAAATACTTTCTATCATTTTTAATTTAATTTGCTTAATGTGAAATTATGATAGGTCAAGTAGCCATTGATAGTGGTTTTTACATGGATGGGTGACCCCACATTTGAAAAAGATACAACAAATCGTGAGAAAATATATTAAAATACTTTGAAATTGTTTAATACAAAAAAAGGATTGCATAAATATTTTTTATCATTTTTCATTTAATATGTTAACAAAGAAAAATATCCCCTTTTTGAAATTATGAAAGGTCAAGTAACAATTGATAGTAGTTTTTACATGGATGGGTGATTCCCGTTTAAAAAAAAAAAAAAACATACAAATCTAATAAATAATGTTCGTAGAAAAGGAAATGTAAAAATGTAAATGGTAATATTTATTGATCAATTCATTCTTTAAATAATAATTAAAAAAAAAATATACACATACATTGAAACAATATCTAATTCTAATTAATTAATTACAATAAAACACTGATACTGCTATCAAATCAAAAAAAAAAAAAAAATACAAAAAGAAGAAAAGAAAACAAAGAATAAAAAATAAAATAAAATAAAAAAAAATGTCTAAAAAAATAAATATAAAAATGAAAGAACGTCTGATTCTCATTCAATCATCATTATCATAATCATTATCAATGACAGGTTAAGTTCACAAAAGGGGTCACACGTTAGAAAGATTAAACGCGGCAAAAATTGGCGCGAGTTTTCTTCGTTCGTTCGTTCGTTCGTTCCTTGTTGAATTACAACCCTGTTTCCTTCCCCCTCGACAGACTCAACCAGTCAACCACCCACCCATCCATCTACCCAGCTAGTCAACTAACGTTCCCACGCTCATGCGTGGGCGTCGCGACGTCACGATGATAAGAGAGAGAGAGAGAGAGAGAGAAAACTGGTTACACGGTAGCTACGACGACGCTAGCGTCGTTTGCTCACAGTGGCCAACGCGATCTCGGCCCGTAAAGATCGTTTCCGGTAATACGTTACATTTTTGTTTTGTTTTTTTTTTTTGTCTATATCAACAGTCCTTTCCCTCCCTTAACCCATCCAATCCTAGACCCTTTTTTCCCATATTCTTTCACCATCCACGTTATATTTTACCTTCAACTTCAAACTCATTTTTTATTTTCTTCTCTCTTTTTACTGTTAACATATATTTTAATTTATTTTCTTTATTATTATAATCAACTAAGTGCCAAATTAATCAACAAAGTTATTTTGTGATTGACTATTTTTTTATATTAATAGAAAGAAAAAAAACAAAATAAAAAATTCTATAAATTTTGTATATTTACAAAGAATTATTTTTATTATGGGGGTTGGGTGAGAGAATGGTCGTGCTAGAAAAAAGAGTGAAAAGAAAAAATATAAAAATATATATATAAAAAAAAAAAAAAGAAAAGATAGAAATACAAATATATAAAGTAAGTTTTGTTTGAATAAAAAAAAAGAAGAAGAAGAAGAAGAAAAAAAAATAGTTTATTTAAACTATATAATTCATTTTTCTTATCTGTAATAAATTCTACATTTCTAGCATCATATCATCTATCAAAAATACATACACATACGCTTACACACATATATATATATAGATATATAGAACGATAACGTGTCGTGAATCTACAAAAAGTGAAAAAAACAAAAAACGAAAAAAACTAAAAAGAAAAAAAAAAAATATGAAAAATATCGTGAGAAAAAGATAAAGTAAAAGATCTTCTCAGTAATACGAAGGAGGAAATCGGTGAAACGTGTGATGCAACTTTTCAAGAACTATAATACATATACATATATGTATAATATATCTAATGTAAGATATCATAGAACGATGAATTCTTATCTCGAATGGTGGTGTGGGGGAAATGAAGAAAATGAAAGAGACTTATAAGAGAAAACGAGTCATTCCAAATTTGTTCTCATGTGTGATTCAACGATATATCATCAAAGAAAATATATGAAAGATCTTAATTTGACAAAGTGTGTGTTCTCTGACTTGTTAAAGTGATGCTGGATTAGATAATAATAGTAGTAATAACAGTAGTAGTAGTAGTGTGTTGGTGTGATGATATGATGGTTGATAGTGATTGTGTTATCGATCAACAAAAATGGATATTACGGTAAGATTATTTATCATCAATTTTATTTAATACATATTTTTTTTATTATTATTTCTAATAATAATATAGTTCTAACAGTAATATTATACTTCTAATAATATTATTTATAGATATAAATAATATATCTATTCCTATAAATAAATAAACAAAATAATTTAATTTAATTTAATTTAATTTAATTTATAATAAAGAATTAAGAATTGAATTATTTATTTCTAATAATAATATATTATTCTAATAATATATTTATTTCTATAAAAATAAATAAAAAATAAATTTCTATATTTTTTTCTTCTTTTTTTTTTTTTTTAATTTAATTTTTGATATCCAACGATTAGATAGATAAACCACAATTATTACCAATTAAAATTATTCGATTTCTAACAATTATAAATAATTTTATTAATAAATTGCAATACGCGAGTTCAATTCGTAATAAATAGAAGATAACATATTTCTAATAATTTTTTAATTATCAAAAAAAAAAAAAAAAAAACAAAAAGTATCTTAGTTTCCTTTGCACGTTCGAAGATATTCCGCAAACGTTTGACTATTTTATTTTCTATCGATTCTCTCTCTCACACACACACACACATACCTNGAAGATAACATATTTCTAATAATTTTTTAATTATGAAAAAAAAAAAAAAAAGAAAAATATTCTTAGTTTCCTTTGCACGTTCGAAGATATTCCGCAAACGTTTGACTATTTTATTTTCTATCGATTCTCTCTCTCACACACACACACACATACCTTTCCTCATAGAGTATACACATACGTTTATGTATTATATTTACTTTTCGATAACTCCCATAGAGGGGAACTTTTGCCATAGAAAAATTCTTTGTTTCTTTGTTTTTTTTTTTCTTTTTTAAAAACATAATCCTATTCCCATATTTCTAAAAGGGTTAATACAGATAAAACTGAGAATTTGTAGGTTTCTCAAGAAAATATCTTAACTGTGAGAATTTCATCGATGTGTTTACACACTCCCACACATGTATACATCTCATACTATTGGTCTTTTTTTTTCTAACCGTTCAAATGTACCGAAAAATTGGTGGAATGGTGTAAGGAATGGCCCCCTTTTTTTTTTGTTTTTTTTTTTTTTGAATACTTTCGCAATCCTGTTAGTTTACTTACAGCAACACATCTCTCTCTCTTTCTTTTTTTTCTATTTTATTTCCTTTTATATTCGTGAATAAATTCAATTTTATAGGATTGAAATGATATTTACTTCTTATAATCATTTTTTTTTTGATTTTTAATATGAATTTGTGAATGAATTAAAAAAGTTTTCTGTAAAATCTAATGAAGTGTATTAAAAGTAATTGTTGTTATCAAAATTTTATAATTATTTTTATTATAATAGGATTTGATTTATAATTTATTATTTTATTTATTATAATAGGATTTGATTTATAATATATTATTTTATTTATTATAATTATTAATTTATATACAATTATGTTTACAATTTTATGTTCACAAAGATGTTTTTGCATAACAATTGTGTTTAATTTTTTTTTGTCAAAGGATTGTAAACTTATTAAACCCTTCTCAAAACCATTAAATGACTAAGATACTAAAATTCATATTTTTCTCATTTATTTTGTAATTCCCCTAAAGAAAAATATTATAGTCACAGAGAGACATGTGTGTGAAAGAGAAACTTGACATTTTTCATTGTATGCAATATTTATGCTTATTTTATAAAACATTTGTTCAACATCGATATTTGTATAAACATAATATTTAATAATATTTAATTAATATAATAATATAATTTAAGTGTGACTGGAGTTCAGACTAAAAAAAAAAAAAAAAAAAAAAAATATGCTTGGCAAGCAACCACAACGAAATGATTCTTCTTCTTTATATATACATGAATTATGTGAATTTTGTCCATAGAAATCACCATTGATGCATGCGTTTTCAAGTTTATATTTTTATAATGTTAGTTCAGAAATGTCTGAAGTTTCTTTCTTTCCTTCTGTTCTTTTTTTTTCTTTTTTATTTTATTTTATTCCATCTATCTTTTACGAAAAATAAAAAAATACAATGAAAAAGGAAGAGAAGAAAATGAAAAAGAAAAAAAAAAAATATATATATATATATAAAATCAGAGAAGAAAATGAAATGTAGTAAAGCTTTTACGAAAAGTATTTTTCATTTTATCAATAAATCGAACTAAAGTACAATACTTTCAACGTTAATACCTAAAAGAACTGTAAATCATTTTAAAGAAAGCTAAAATACTACAAGACTTATACTGTGAACTTTCATCCCATTTTTTTCAATTTGTTAAATACGAAAGAAACAAAAAATAAAATAAAATAAAATAAAATAAAATAAAATAAAATTAAAAACATTTCAAACCTACGTTTTTGTTAACTCAAACATCCTAAATAATTATTTGCCCTAAATTTAATAAAATTTCAACTCACACCCTTAATAATTATTTCCACTTAATATAATAAAATCTCAATTTACACCCTTAATTTTCCCTTAATTTACACCCTTATTTTCACTTAAAAATACTTAAAAATACTGAAACACTGTTGAAAGAAACAAACAACGTGTCATCATAAAGAAGAAGAAAAAAATAAATAAAAACAAAAATATTACAACTACTTTTACCCCTTTTTTACACACACACACACACACACATACACACTTTACTATTATTTATTTTTATCCCCTTATATCCTTCTCTCTAGATTTTATTTTCCGTTTTTTACAGTGAACAAAAAAGAAGGGTTGTTGCTTGCTTGCCTTGCTTTGCTTACCTTTTTCAGGTTTTATATTAAACAGAATCCGTATAACGTTTCTGCAACGACTGACACATAAGTGGTTAGAAGTGTTAGGAGAGAGAGAGAGAGATAGAGAGAGAAAGAGAGAGAGCTTGGAATATTGTTAAATCGAAATACGAAAAACCGAAACTGTCTGTCACGTTCTTCTACAAACTGCACACTTTTCCTTTACCACCCTTTTATCCTCCTACCCCCATCTCGCTACACTTCTATCCTTGGTTACAAGCCCTTTTCCCTCCTTCTTTTTATCCTTATCTCGTATTCGAAATCAGAATTTGAGATAAGAATATTCTTGGAAATCTTTAAAACACGTCAAAGTTAGCAAAATTAACAAAAAAAGAAAAAAAAAACAACCTTTGAATCTGTTCGATTATTTTTTATTTAATTTCAAACACAAACGTTTATTGGTTTTTTATTCTTTTTTTAAATGTTTGTTTTTTCTATTTTTTATTATTTTTTTGTTTTGTTTATTTTTTCATTACTCGTACCGAGATACTAAATTTTGAATTTTCAAATTTGCGAATTTGCCGATAATAATTTTTCGATATTTTCATTTCACTTGGTATTACATTGCACAAGTGCATACCAATATTCACGTTGAATCAAATTGACTCTCCAAAATTTCTCTTCCCCTTTCTCTCCCTCTCTTTCTCTCTGCTAATCCTCTCTTTCTCAATTTCTTGTCGAAATTTTTTTTATTTTCTTTTTTTTTATTTTATTTTCTTTTTCTCTGGATGGTAATATACGTACGAGAGGTTAACTAATTTCATAGATTTTTCCTAACAAACTTATAAGCCACGATTTGATTTTTTTTTTCTCGAATATTTTTTCACAGAAAAAAAAAAAAAATACTACAACGATCAATGAATTTTCAATACTCGAGTGATTTTCAATACAATTTTTAAAAAGCATTCCGATACGAATACTCAATGTAAAGTACAAATAAGTCGAGTTTTTTCATTAAAATAATTCAAGAAAGAAATCTTCAATACTAATAATAATAATACTAATAATAATAATAATAATAATAATAAAGAAATTCATTTCTTTTTCATCTCTTTTCTTAATCTTGAATTCTTACGATATAAAGTAAAGAATAAAATAAAAAGAAAAATGTATTCTTCTCATAGCTTTCAGTTAATTTTTTTGTTTGATTTTATTTTTCTCTTTTTTTTTTTTTTTACTTTCTTCTTCTCGTTTAATATATTTTACCTTTCATATTTCTTTTTTATTAAAAAGATTAGAGAATAAGCTAATACCCTGATACGTCTTACAGTAAAAAACAAAGAGAAAGAGAAAGAGAAGAGAATATCAAAAGAAAAAAAATTAAACATTTGCATATTTCTTAATTTCTAAATAAATTAAACAAAATTACAAATAATAAAAATATCATAAATAAATTCATTATATGTTTCAATATAGAACCAACATATATATATTGAATATTTATTAGAATAATTAATTTTTAATTATTAATTAATAATTAATAGTATACCTTATACTATATATATATATATATATATATATATATATATATTAGATAAATGAATTTAATTAAAGTTACGTTCTATGCGTAAAACCAACTTCAACGTTACGGATTTGTTCTAAATTGCGAATGAGAAATCTTTCTCTCTCTCTCTCTCTCTCTCTTTCTCTCTGATGAGAAATTTAAAGCACAGAAACCCATAACACAAAAGAGTTGAGGAATTTATCAAATTATTACTGTCCAAAGGACTGACATTATCAAATTTTGAACTACAGCCGATGAATTAGAGAATTAAATTCAGTTTAACTTTTTGAAAGGTTCGAGTAGTATTCTTTTTCGTGTCGTGGTATTGCCATAAATGTAATTTTATGTGTTTTCTCAGTGGAACCTAACTAAAGTGAACCTAAAGATATCTAAGTGATAAAAAGAAGAAAAATACATAGAAAAAAAAGAAAAAAAGAAAAGTGTTAAAAGCAGATGTGAAATAAGAGAGAAAAAAAAGATGTTAAAAAAAAAAAATCGATAAGAAAAGATGGATGAAGCAATAAACGCGATTTTTTATCGTTTTAAATGAAAGTAATGCAAAGTTATATGAGAGAATGTGTCTCTGAACTTTATCTTGAAAACGTGCCAAAATGTAAAGCTTTTACGAGATTTTCTTCGATTTTCAATGATTTCTATCAAAATTATGCTACTTCGT